AAAAGTGAGGAATGTTTTCACAATCGGAGAAATACCATCGGGTGGAAAAATATATGGGAAAAATATTCGCAATGGTTTTCCAGTAATTAACTCAAATATCTGAAATTATTGAACTGTCAAGAATTTTTATTAATACCGAATACCGAAATGAATACCGAATTTTTGGGCAAAAATTTCTGGAGGAATTTCGACAAATTGATAAAAGTGCATATCTGGATTGCGGACTCGGGTAAAAAAAATTGTAATCGAAATGTTTTTTCCAAATTTTCAAAAAATTTCTGGAAAACTTTTCAGAATTTTTTTTTGAAACAGAAAAAAAAACGGAAAACAAAGAAATTTATTTTTGGGAAAGGTTTTGAAAAACTTTTCAAAAATTTAAATAGGAAAATTTCTTTTATAATTTAGATGTCGTATTTTTTGAAAATATTAAGAAATTGAAAAAGCGAGAAAACAACAGTATAATTAAAAAAAAATTATATTCGCAAAAATTTCTAGAAAATTCTAAAAAAAAATTTCCAAAACGAATTTTTGAAAAACTTTTCAAAACATTTCCCAAAAATACAATTGTCTTATTTCCCGATTTTTTTATTAAAAAAGAAAATTTTCCGAAAAGTTTTCCAGAAATTTTTTGAAAATTTGGAAAAAATATTCCGATTACAATTTTTTTTAACCCGGGAAATTCCTTCTGCTCGATAAGTTCGTAATAATACTCATTGAATCGAGTATTTTCTCGGTGCAGAAGAGAATTGGTCATGCCATTGGAGGTACTTGAATTATCAACGGATGATTCTTGTTGCAATGTTTTGCATATCGTACATTCGTCACGGCTGTTCATGGAGTACTTGATGTGTTTTGCTCGAGGCACTTTGTAACCCGATGCTCGGCACGATCGAACGGTGAGAATGAATCGTTGAATTTTTTTAAAAATCGAACAGCAGGAGAATCTGAATTTTTCCCCAAAGATCGAATATAAAAATTCGCAGAAAAAATTTAATTAAATTAAAAGCCGAAATCCACAGCAGCTGAATCGATCAATGAGATCGGTTTATGAAATCGGATTGACGCACCTTCCACGGTATTTAATTTTCTTCCAAAACCTAATGATTTATATTCAGAAAAAAAATCAGAATTCACCTCTCGCAATCCCATAAACTCGGAATAATCGTATTTCGATGCAAAACGTGTGACACAATCGGCAATGCTCCAAGATACGTTAAACGGTTACCAGGAAGACCGTTATATGCACACAGAATGACCGTTCGGGTCAAACAGGAAGAATCTAGAATCCAGGATGCGGTACCCGATCACCGATCGTCCACCACGTCACGTCCTGGCCAAAATTTCTCGATTCCCCGAAATTTTCCCCAAAAATTCCCAACACACGCACCTCATTTCCACGCCCTCCACCCCAAAGAGCATTTTTTTATCAATGAATCTTTATCTAATAATATTTTTTTAATGATTCAACTCAATTTAGTATGCAAATATTAAAATGACTCCAATTCCTGCAATGACAATCAACTCTAACTGCACTGACTCTAATTTCAGATGTTGATTACTAAAATCTAACCGATTGATTGGAATTAATTAAGCGTGTGGCACGCGTGTGTGCGCTTCTGGTGACTCCTAGATTATCGGTATTCGTTTACCTATTAAATCCGGTTTTCAAATGTTCACAGGTGCTAAATTCTTGTTATCTACCGATTTAATACACATTTAAAGCACTGAGTGTGCGTTTGCAAGGCATATCCGAGAGGTATTGAGTTTCTTTACCTCTGATATCAACTTGATATCATGGCCACTGGTTCTCTCAGACCAGTAACCATCGCCGGACAGCCTACACCATTTTTCATTGACTCATAAATTATTTACCCGTGATAATCAAATTAGAGGATTGAATTTTCACAGTCCAAAGGCAATCCACCGTCGGCGCCTTCGGTATTTATTCAATTCTGAAATAATCCACAGTAAATAAATTCATTAGGCGATAATGGCACGTCCGGAAATCGGCATATTAATCAGTTTTCTCAATTAAAACTGAATTACCCATGATTTATTACGAGAGATTTAATTTTCAGGATAAGTTTTCCCGTGGATTTAAAATAAGAAATTAATTGATGTATCGATTTTTTAATGGTTGATTAGAATTTTTTATGAGAATATTTGAAGATCTGATTGATGAATTGAACCCCCAAAAAATGGACGTACATGATCGGATCATCTCTAATGCCACAAGTACATGAAAATCCATTGTGACCCCATTATCGGCGTCCCTGACGCACCCTCTCATCCCGATTATCACGAGGACTGCACTTGATCCTGATCACTGGTGCGTGAAGAAAAGCAATACCGATTGATCACGAGATTGGTGTTGGAGTGTAACACACCCTCGGTTTTCCCTGGGAACTCGAGTGACTAATTCAGAACCCCGAGGGGGTTCCCCAGGTTCTTTGGCGTGTCTGAGATACCCGGTAATTTCAGAGTTGTCTGGCATTTGTGCGTGCGTTGCCGTAATATTTGCAGTGCAGACGAAAAATAATCGGTTGTTTTTTTTTCAGCCAATACCGAGATATTTGTCTAGGAGACAAACAAGCCGAAGATAATTACTGTAATTATTCAGTTTTTATTGACAGACATTTCTTGATGTCTTCATGATCAGCTTCGAGACATTTCAAATGGTCTCATCAACATGTCGACGTATTTCCGCTCTTTAACGATCGTTAACTCATGAAAAAATTATTTCTCCCGGGGACTTGAGACCCCGGAAAAAAAATTCTAATCGGAATATTTTTTCCAAATTTTCAGAACATTTCTCGAAAACTATTCGAACAATTTTTCTTTTGAAACAAAAAAAAAATTGTTTTGTCTTCAATTTTTTTTTGTCTCATAAAAAAAATTTTCTGGAAATTTTCCCGAAATTTTTTGAAAATAAAAAGAAAATATTCCGATTACAATTTTTATTTTCCCCGGGTAGGTGCATGCATTTCACAACTCCTAACAAATAATTATTTACAACAATTAATCCCCTGGTAAATTAACCGACCGAGTGAAAATTCTCGAATATTCCAGTAAATTCTCCCGATGACGCGCCAATGGCTAGATTTTCCAAGAAAAACATATTTGGATGAGCGTTCCATTTATTTATTGCCTCTTCGTGGTTATAATACGCTATTTATTTTCCGCAATGGGCAATCCAATTAACAAAACAGGAGAATTCATTAAGAATTCTGCAATTGTTGAAGCGACGAGCGTTAATGGACGATATCATCTCGAGTACTTCCCTCCCGAGATTAAACATTCCGCTCATGTATTATTCATATTTGTAGTAGCCCGACCATATCGGCCCACATCTGCAATTGCATCTTGAGCATGTATCATTGTTTGGGTGTACATGCCTATTATATATATATTTTTTTCATTCACTTTTTACTCTCCTTATCGCTAGGTACTCAAGTGTCTGTCAATTCTTTTTATGGGGCGCTGAATGACGGGTACATTTACGAGAACTTTCTGATTATTTAAAAGGCAAGCAGACAGTAATGAAGTACAAGACTAATAACAATTTTTCCTCGCGTAATAACAATAATAGCAACAATTGCTCTTCAATTCAAATGATTTTAAGATTTTTCCTGCAATCGATGGATGAAATATAAAATAATAATGTCATACAATAATTTTATATTTTGGGGTATTGTTATTATTATTCAATATGTAGGATGGAGATGGAAATAATTTATTGAAATATTGTATTAAATATTCCGAGGATTTTTAGAGTGAAAAAAAAAATCGTCTTTTTATCAGGAAATTCTACGACGATGGGATACGTCATTACAACAGGGCTAGGGTCAATATTGATTCAGTTCCACGAGAGAAAAATTCACTCTCGGTTGTACAACGATATTCCCTTCATCTCCCTGAAAGAGAAAAAAATTCTTGGCAAATGTTTAGAGCTATTTATTTTATTTCATTTCAATTTTTCATCTGAATACGAGAGATTCGGATGATTAAAGAGGGAGAGACTAAGAGGATTAATATCTGGGGAGAGTAATCTCTTCAGGAACTCGGGAACCTTTCAGAGGTGTTTTATATTTTGGTGAGTGGAAAAATTTCAGGGCTTCAGAAATTTCCGATGGGTGTAGGAATAATTGTCGATACATTCTCGGTATCGAATATTCGCGGGGATTTCAACCAGAAATAGAATTGATTTCCAGTCACCTTGTTCCCTAGATACAAAAATTAAATTTTCTCAACTATAATTTATGCAGTTCTCTTTTGGTGATATACCTATATGCACAGGGGGTACGCAGACTCTGACTCTAACCGCGTTCGATATTGGATTCGCAGGTGAAGTGTAACGAGCCACCGGGAAAATTCCTTTTGCCTCGATGGTTTACACATTCCCATTGAACCCTCGATATCCGATTAAACAGGGAATGACACTTACCATAAATAAATATTTAATCCCCGATCAATCGAAATTATGTTGCGAAGTGAAAACTCACTTCACTCACAATCTTCACTCCGTTTTTTTGTAATACTCCCCAAAATTACGGGAGATATCAAATTTTTTGTAATAACCTTTTTTGAAGCCCGTAATGAGCTCTGTAAAAAAGATTCTGATGAAAATTTCGTCATCTCCTTTGGTTTCAAAGAAATTCCCGAAAAACCGGAGGCAAGTCGAATTATCGTCACATGCCTCTTCAGTTTTAATTCCATCGATTACGATTAATATCTCGGAATCCGAGAGAGATAACATAAAATTCATGAGGACCCATTTTGTAGGTATGTTCTTGATTTACAAAAAATGTTCTTACAAAAAAAGCGCCATTGTCCTTATATCCTGAGATATTAATAAAACCGTTTAGAGTGGCTATAGCTTTTTTCAGGATGAACATTGGACAATTTCAGTGCAACATTGGCAATAATTATTTAAATAATTCCATGACATGGATGTCGTATTTTTTCATACCCTGAATAATTATAAATTAATGAGGGCTTACCTCAACCTCCTCCACATTTTCATGAATATTCTCCTGTTTATCAGGGCCCAACAAAAAAAATCTTTAACGCGATAGAGTGGGTACCGATAACATTGACAAAAACATAAAAATCACTCGGAAAAATGGTAAAAGTGGATTGATTCCACTGATGTGCGTCCTGGTCCAACAGTTGCGCGTCAAAGACTGAAGGCAGACGGTGTGAGGGCGATTTAAAAGTACGAGCAACGGAGCCCCACCGAAGTTTGCCGAACCCCTCCGATTGTACCGTTTTAAAACCACTACTTAAACATCCTTTCAGTCGAATTAAAAATAAAATTGTTCATAAAACCCACAAAAATCTAAAAAAACTCAACGAGACCTCAAAAAATTCCGAGAAATTTCGAGAAACATTTCGAAAAATCCGCGGCGCGAATTGAATTTTTCTTAGTAAAATGGCAAATGAATTTCGCAATGAGAGATTAATAATTTATTGAATAATTGACTAATAAAAAAATTGCGGAGTGCAGTAGGAAAAACTTGTTGGGGTAATCGAGGAGAAAATTTGATAAGTCCCACATACGTGACATTTAGACCCCAGACGGGGGTAAAAAAATATTTAGACCGGATATGCTAGGAGTTAAATGGGCCATGCTATTCATTTGTTGTCGGCATTAAGCCTCTGGACAACTTCCTATTAAGTCCCGAGGTCTGAGACACGACTGCGGGAATAAATACAACCGGTAATATTCCCACAATTCGATCGCGCGTGCCTTCTGTTTACAGTTCAAGTGCCTTCGGCAATTCACATCGATCTTCGCACACCGGAGATTCAATTGGTGGACTGCCATGAGTATTGCGACTGGTTCTAAAAAATCGGAGTATTCTCCGATGAAATAATTGAAAAATAAATTTATTCCCTCGAGATTCATTAATTCAACCTGTTTAATTGGTATAAAATGATGAGATTCAAAATATTATATTTCAACTCCTTCTTCATAATCTCCATTCATAAAAATTACTCTCCCCCTTCTCCCCCCGAAGTCCCCGTAATTCCCTCGATCAAAGAGATGAAGAAACACCGCAATTAAAATTTTCCTCCTACACTATGAATTTTCACACCACAATTTTAACTCTCATTTCCACTTCCCCTATCCACTCCCATTTTTTTGTTGTTTCCGCGTCTCGAGTGGTATTTACACCGCGGAAAATAAAACATCATCAAAATCCTCATGCATCATAAATTTTAATAAACCCTTATCTTTTTCCTTTCATTAATTCAATTTTTTCTTTATCGTTAAAAAATACGCGGAAGAAAAAAACGCGAAATGAAAATTCGTGGAAGGCGAATAATTTTCAATCCAACATTTAACTTTTTATTCGTTTTGAATAAAGCTAATAAGCTATCAGAAATTGCTGTATAATTATCGAGAGCACACGGTCTTACTTATTTCAATTAATTTTCTAGTAGTGTAGATGTATGTGAGTCAGGCGCCTCGACATTCTAGTGATATTATCAGTGTCTGTAATTTACATATGTATCTATCAACATTTGATAATTTATGTGTGGGGGATATGCCACGAGAGCAGGAGATAAGAAGGCATAACAGTTAACATGGTGCAATGAACTTGACTAGTTGTGCCGTGAGAGGAAGGCGTAGGAGAAAACAGAAGGAAGACGTCCCGGCGGACCATCGCCGTGAGGTTTGCGGTCATATTCGTCCTGGAGATCCACTCGCACATTTGTGCATTATCCTCTTCACCCTCTCATCCAGTGTTTGCCTTCTCGTTCGGTACTAGATGCTAATTCATCGTGAAGTCAAGGGAGAGTTTTTCCTCCGTACCCGTGAGTTTACGACAGCCTCATCCTTTTTCATTTGAGTCCTCATTATTAATTCGGTAAATAAATTGAGCGAAAATTTTCATTCTCATTTATTTTGATTTATCAAAACATCCTGGAGGAGAGAAGACCCGAATTCACTGGGCAGATGCTCCCGATGTTAGTCGGAATTCTAATTAATATAATTGAGGTAAAACGTTTCTTGGAAAACGAAAAAAATTGCAATATTGATATCAATCGAGATTGCAGAATGAATTTTATTATAACAATTTCATCTTTCAGTTAAAAAAATGAAAAAATTCAGATCAACTTGGATAATCTGGTTTATGAAGTAGATTTGTTCGTCCCCGCCTCTTTAAGATGCAAGTGCCACCCAGAGATAATTACCCATCAGCTGACATCCATCAAGTAACCCATCCACTCTGATACAGAGACTCAACAATTATGAATTTGTTCAATAAGCTGTCGTCCCGCCCTACGCGATGGCTTAGTCATCGCTCGGATTTTCGATTATTCTATTATTCATGAAAGTGTCGTTCATATTCTCTTAGATCTGAGCCCCCAGGCTGAGATCTTTCATGGATAAGTGCGATCTCGTTACTGAAGGCAGACGCATTTCTCAGAAAATTTACCCAAGATTTTTTGATACGCACGATACGCTATTCCCTCATAAAAAAATTCAAAGGAATGAGCAAGCGAAACGAGATGCATGCATCTGTTAATTTTTCATGTAGTAAAATGAATTTAGTAATTTCCCATGGAGTCCCCAAAATTTTAAGTCCAATTAAATTTCCAACGAAATTTGTACCTGGAAAAAAATTGGTCTCGTGATTGAAATGATTGTGTAATGCATTAAAAATCATGTCACGAGCACAATACGTTGTTTATTCTTTTCTACAATGAGATATAAAATATACTGCATCGACGGAACATAAAACTCAATAATTGATTTACAATTATCACCGTTTTTCGTTCATAAAAAATGATTTGAATAATAATCAGTGGATTTTTCCGACTCTTTATGCTCTATTTCACAATATTTTCCACGTTTCCTTCATATTCCAACGTGAATCCTAGGATCTATTTACAGTTTGTCTTACCATCGATAAAAAATAAAAATTAAATGAGGGCTCGTTAATCATCTCTGAATTCAAGGAAAATAAGAATTTCTAAGAATTTCCTTCAGCTCCTGAAATGCACTACAAAAACGTCTCAGAAACGAATTGAAATCGTTTAACAAATTTCAAATATTCGACTCTTCGTAATTCCCCGATTAAATAAAAATCATGACGAATGTTAAATTATCGTTAATTGCACCATCAGCTCTTGATGAACACAATTCCCTCTCCGAGAGAGAAATCACTTTCCCTAAAGAAGAATCTCCAAATATCCTAACAATTTCCATAACTCTCCCCTCGAATCGTCCCACAACGAAATAATAAAATACATTCATAATTATTTAACCCGGAGCATGATGTGACTAGCCAATATCCGGTGGTGGTTGGGGCCTTCCCTAGGTCTTCTTCCACGAGTAAAAAATTTCGAGAGGTCTGTTGACACGCCAGAATTTATCGTTGACTTGCCTCAAGGTCTGGGAGCCACTCAAAACGACGTATTGTCCTGGCGATGGAGCAATGTAAATACAAAAATTAAGGAGTCGATCAGATTCAGATAAATCTGTGTCTGGATCGAGGGTAAGCCGCATCGCGAGGTATTTACTGAGGTGATCGACTGAAAAAGACAATATTAAAATTAAATCAATAATAATAATTATTATATAATTAATTCCCGTGGCGTGTGAAATCGAAATATATACCTGTTGCATTTGCAGTGGTCTTTATGTATCTGACGCTGTTTTCTCTGAATGCTTTTATAAGAGAATTATCCCCAGCCATTTCAGTGGGATGGGGCTTGAACACTAGTTCAATTTCGTCCAAGGTCGAGGGTTCACTCGGACCCTCGCCTTCGGTATCCACCATTGAATCTCCACCTCCAGTTTCAGCCTCAGCACTCGATGAGTCATTCTCGGAATTTTGTAGACTCTTCTGGCGTTTTGGAGGCTTGGGAATTTGATTCGCTGGATTTGGAGATGGTGTCGTCGAATTTCTGGATGTGGTACCGGAAATGGCAGGACTGCTGGCAGGTTGTGACACACTATTGGAATTTTGTGAGCCTGAATTATTGGCTCCACTGTTATTCAAAGCGGTTGGCCCCTGAGATGAGTCACTCTGATTGGCAACATTAGCTGCAGGATTGGGTGTAGCTGGAGCACTGACATTTGGTGTGTTATTGTACGACGGGGCATTACTGGTATTCTCGGATTCATTGGCATTTTTTCTCGATCTCTGTGGCCTGTTCTGACTCTGAAGTTTTATTCCCTCTGTTATGGAATTTACTAAAGCAGCCTGCGAGTGAGATTTATTCAATTTAGCGAGGACTCGCTCCTGATGTGCCTCGTACTCATCACGACTTGGATATATTTTTGATATTAGCAGATCGAAATTGGGATCTGGCCGGAGAGATCGTTTTGATACAAGTTTTTTCCTGCACGTTGGACATTCCTGGAATCATTGCATTAATTGAGAGAAAAATCAATTAATCATTAAAAAATTTTGAGCCAGCGGAATTTCATCAAAAATGCAAAAAAAAAATGGAGTGTTCCATTATTTTCAACAAACAAATTATTTTACAAGTGAGACCACAGGGGTTCGATAACTCCGTTGTTTTTTCATCGATAAAGGTCACAGGAATATAAATAAACATCTTGCCACGAGTGACAGCAACCCAAAACAACATTGAAGTGCATCCGCAGCTTTTCTCCTGGCAGTGTGATTTATGAGAGGAAATAAATTGTGAAAAATCGAGAAGGCAGTGATGCTCACTGATATTCTCACAAAAAAAAATGGGTAATGTACCTTATTCCCACTCCTAAGTGCTGTGATGATACAATCCGAGCAGAAGCGATGTAGACACTCCTTGGTGGTCATTGTTTTCTTGAGCATATCCAGACATATTGGACACATCAATTCACTGTGTAAACTTCGGGGACTGACTGCTATCTCCGTGTTATCAATAATCGGCTCCTGGGACTGTCTGTGCAGCTCGTACAATGACAATTCCCAATTTTTATTCAATCCAACCTGCTCGGTGGAGGCCATTTTGCTTATTTGCGACGCGACTCAACACCGGGAGGAAAGACCAAAGAGGATTGACTAAAAGAGAGGCTCAGTTCTGGGGGTTTGAGTGACCCCAGGGACATCGTAGTACTGCACCCCAAGAGAGGGAGGGCGCAACACGCTGGCGTGTCCATCAAGTCAAAGGGGTGAATTTTATTTTCTGCAGTACGAATGATTTTTGTTTTTTATTTGTTGCACTGAAATTTAATCGACTGTAGAACGAGCGGAAGGGGGAAGCAACATCTTGTGAAATTTCAAATGAAAAGCATTATTCAATGTATTGAAGATATACTACAAATGAAATTATATTTTCATAATGAGCGCGTTGTCTAATCGGCAGCGTGCTTGGCTAGCACGCCGCCAGGTGGGGTTCGATCCCGCCAACTTTCATTTTTTTTTCAAATAATTCCTATTTTTTTTTTTGTTAATGGCTAATCAATGAAAATATTGTTTAAAAACTGAATTTTTGAAAATCGGGAAGATATCCAGTGAAATTGAAAAATTTGACATTTTTGAGAACGAAACTTTTTCAATATATATACTCCTAATGAATTTATAATATTGTAATGAGTGCGTTGTCCTAGGGGTAACGTGCTTGCCTATCACGCCGACGGCTGGGGTTCGCTCCCGCCGACATTCATTTTTTTTTTTTTAAATAATTCCTATTTTCTTTTTGTATATAACTAATCATTTGAAATATCATTTAAAAATCGAATACCTCCTCGACGTTCATGTTCCCCTGATACTTTTTCAAAAATTTCGAATTTTTCAATTTCAGCGAAAAATTTAGAATTTTCATATTTCAATGAAATACCGACGTCGGTAATACGAGGTCCTTGGTATGTCGACAAATGGTAAAAAAAAGATCGAGTAGTAAAGTATCGAGCAAAAAAGTGTAAGTATAGAAATTGAAAAATTCGAAATTTTTGAAAAAGTATCAGGGTAACATGAACATCGAGAAGGTATTCACTGCAATCGAAAAATTCGAAATTTTTGAAAAAGTATCAGGGGAACATGAACGTCGAGGAGCTATTGACTGACATTTTCACTGAAAGTGAAAAATTCGAAATTTTTGAAAAAGTATCAGGGTAACATGACCATCGAGGAGCTATTCACTGAAATTTTCACTGAAAGTGAAAAATTCGAAATTTTTGTAAAAGTATCAGGAGAACATGACAATCGAGGAGCTCTTCACTGAAATTTTCACTGAAAGTGAAAAATTCGAAATTTTTGTAAAAGTATCAGGGGAACATGATAATCGAGGAGCTCTTCACTGAAATTTTCACTGAAAGTGAAAAATTCGAAATTTTTGAAGAAGTATCAGGGGAACATGAAAATCAAGGAGCTATTCAGTTTTTAAACAATATATCGATTTATTAGCCATTTACAAAAGAAAAAATAGAAATTATTTAAAAAAAAAAAATGAATGTTGGCGGGAGCGAACCCCAGCCGTCGGCGTGATAGCCAAGCACGTTACCGCTAGGACAACGCGCCTAATGCAATATTATAAATTCATTAGGAGTATATATATTGAAAAAGATTTGTTACAAAAATGTCAAATTTTTCAATTTCACTGGATATCTTTTCGATTTTCAATTATTCAGTTTTTAAACGATGTTTTCATTGATTAGCCATTTACAAAAAAAAAAATTGAAATTATTTTGAAACAAAAAAACTATAAGTATAGAAATTGAAAAATTGGAAATTTCTGAAAAAGTATCAGGGAAACAGGAGATCCGAGAAGGTATTCACTGAAATTTTCAAATCCAAAATTTTCGAAAAAGTATCAGGAGAACAGGAGATCCGAGGAGGTATTCACTGAAATTTTCAAATCCAAAATTTTCGAAAAAATATCAGGAGAACAGGAGATCCGAGGAGATATTCACTGAAATTTTCAAATCCAAAATTTTCGAAAAAGTATCAGGAGAACAGGAGATCCGAGGAGATATTCACTGAAATTTTCAAATTCAAAATCTTTGAAAACGTATCAGGGGACCATGAAAATCGAGTAGGTATTCAGTTTTTAAACAATATTTCGATTAATTAATCATTTACAAAAAAAAATAGGAATTATTTAAAAAAAAAAAATGAATCGTGCTAGGATTGAACCCTAGCCGTTGGCGTGACAGTCGAGCACGTTACCACTAGGACAACGCACTCATTGCAATATTATAATTTCATTAGGAGTATATGAAACAAATAAAAAACAAAAAACCTTCGTACCACAAATAATAAAATTCACCCCTTCGTCTTGACGGACACGCCAACATTGCGTGTGGCGCCCTCCCTCTCTGGAGTCACTCAAACCACCAGAACTGAGCCTTTACTTCAGTCAATCCTCTCTAACTTGAGCCATCAAGACACAAACAATAGTGAATTAATAACTCAGGAATATTATAGAAATGTCTGATGGTGAGTTACGTCAAATAAATAATTTTCTGTCACACGAGAAATAATTAATTATATGTGAAATTCCAGAGGAAGTGATCAGGCGAAGACTGTTGATAGATGGTGATGGCACTGGAGACGATCGTAGGATAAATATCTTGCTGAAGTCTTTTGTGAAGTGGGTGAATAATCCAGAAGTGGATAATGTTCTTTATGAGAGAATTATTTCACAATTGGCACAGTGTGAATTCGCCCAGAAGAAGACGAGACTTGTCTCAGCGATGAGTCAGGAAGAGCTGAAGAAGTACGAGAAACTTTCCAAGGACATCGAAGTGGAGATCGAGGAGGCGAAGAAGGGAATTGATGCCACGAAAATCGTTCTCCAGGAGGCCAAGCAGATCAGGAAGAATAGAATTGAATACGATGTACTGGCTAAAGTCATTAGTGAACAGCCTGACAGGATGGAAACCAATAAAAAATTGGAGACACTCAGGGAAGAGCTGGGGAATTTGAAGGTAATTCGTGTTTCGGGGATGTGATATTTTTTTTTCCAATATTATTCATTAAAAAAATTGATAATTCAAGGAAAAATCGGAGCACCTAGAGCACAAGTTGGAAATGAGAAGAAAACAATTCCACGTATTAATTTCTTCAATTCACTCGCTGCAAAGTATGTTGGATGAGTCTGACGAGGAAATAATGGATGTGAGTCTCGAAAATTATGAGGATTCTGAGCACTACGTCACAGCCTAATCCAATGAAAGACTGCAAAAATTATACGTGAGTCTCAATGTATTTACAAACAGATGAGAGATAAATTGAGGTCACAGATTAAAACTTGAGCTTGAGCTTGCTTGTTTTTGGCACGTGACGAATTGTCAGTGACAATCTTGTTTTTCTCTCCAAAATCTCACCGTCTGTGTACTTCAACGAGCACAAGTCGAGATTACGAATATTTTCCACTGACACAACGTCGACTTTGCGTTCTGATATCGAGTGCAGGTAGTTGTGGTAGAGTTCCTCTTGAAGGATTAAAAGACTCTTTCGTTCCAGCAGAAATGCAAACTCAGGATTTATGTTTCGTTCTTCCTGTAAAATTTAAAAGATCACGAAACTCACGTGGAATATTCATAATTTTATTTTACTATAGGACTAACCTCGCTGGTATCCAGACGTCTCGTGAATTCCAAAAAAGTGTGGGATCCACAGCTGATCGTCGTGACAATGGGGTGAAACAGAGGACCATCCGAGTGTCCCTGGAACAGCCAGGAGTAATCAATAAATTAATTTCAAAAAACAGAACTGGATAATTCATGAATCATGTAATTAAATTAGTTTGTAATATTGAAATGAAAAATTTTGTACGATAAATTCGTGATTAATCACCATAATTCCCTGTCCTGGTATATATTCATTAATCAGGACATGGTTCGGTTGAATTTTTCTCTCGAAAATCTCGAGAGAAGACACTTTATCCATGTATTTTTGCAGCCACTGGAAAATGCAGTTCTTGAGTAAAAAATCATTCGTGGAAAATTCAATAGAACTGTCAAGATTATTTTCTCAATAATTCCAGTAAGTCCTGATGGATACGAATTTTTTGACAGGTGAAAAAAATACATTTGGAATTTGTTCGGCGATCATTCCCTTGGGGTGGGGAATTCCACCCCAGTTTTGGAGCCTTCGATGACTCAGCTGTGTCCATTTTGGCTGAGGTGCATTTTTAACATGTTTTATTATTTCAGCTTCCTCTTCGTCGGTTATGAAATTCGGGATGTAATAAGCCACTGGAGGCGTCTGGAATAAATAAACAAAAATTAGAACTGATAAAAAATCAATTTGGATTGAATAAGACTGGGAATAAAAAAAAATCATCGATTAAACATTAATATTTTAATTATTTAGAATGTGAATATTCGATTGGATGGTTTCTATGTGAAATTGACAGATTTCGATTGCCAATTCTTTCGAACAAATTCGATGATTTATACAATAACAATTCTAACCTCAATCTCACAGAGAAATAATAAAAATACCTTTGGGATGAGATTTCCAGCGATTAAAATATTCTCCCCGATATTCTCGTCCATTCTGGAGTATTTAATCCATCTTTCAATTTTATAAATGACAATAAATCCAAGGAATCACCGGCGAAACAGCAAATTATTGACAGGGAGTCCTCGATTTTTTACCCAGAACTCACCGGACCTGAATTTTGACATTTACCAGATTATCACGATAAATAAATCCACTTGTAAATAGTCCCCTTTCATTGGTTCCCCTCCACCCGGACAGAGTGAATAATTAATTACTCCAGGCCCAGGACATTTATTGATTATTTCCCCAGCCCCATGTCCAGTAAAAAACAAACTCAGCCGCTCATTTTCCAGTAAACAAAAATATTCACGACTGGATGGAACAGGGAAATTTCTACCATGGGTGATTTGCAGGTAAAATTAACAATTTTATAACAAGTGTAATAATAAGTCCCCACTGTATGCCATATTTGCAATTAATTTCGATAATTTTCCACTGAAATTAATGCAAAGACAACAAATGACTCCGAGGAGGAAGTGGTGATTGGAATTTCGGATCGAAAACCGGAAATTCCCGCAGCGGAATGTATTTCTCCAGAAATTCCAGAGAAACCGACACGACTGTCACCAGTTTTTGGAAACGACAGAGATATTCCGGACTTTTTGGCGAACGAGCGAAAAAATGAATGTAAATTGCAAAATCATGTGCATTTAGTGTCAAGAGGTACTCAAACTCCCGTGAAAGCGGATTTGTCTCGTGAATTAACGAGCCCTACAACCCCGAGACCAAGAAAACCCCCTGAAAATCCAAACAGGCACATCCAGGAGCTGATGCTGACGAGATCTCAATTATCCAACGTCCACCGAAAATACCAGCAGCTAAAATCACGTTTCCACCGTTTGCACACAGACTATTACAAATTAATGAGCATAACTGGTGAATTGACATCTTCATTATCGAATTCGGTTCATCGACAGCCAGTTTCGATCGAAACTACCCTGAGAAACTGCATGAGAATATATCCCGATTTATTCAACAAGAATATACGAGGGAGTGAAATATCCCTGAGTTCAGACACCGAAAATTACGACAGCACCTGTAAATCATTTCTCGTCACAGTACCACTACTCCCGAAGCTGTTGAATTACAAAAAAATTAAATTCCATTTGATCAACGCAAATATCAAGACAAAACTGCTGCTGCTGCAGGCATTACGCTGGAAGATAACTCTCAGTCAACCTGAGGAGAGGGATGACGTTGTCAATGAATATATCAACAGTGATTTGCTCGGTTTGCATGGGCAATTAGCTGGAGACTCTGGAAGGGCAGTACTGCCTTATTTGCTTGTGCCTCTCGATGTCGTGCAGCCTCATCCGCTCCAGCAATCAGCTGCTAGATTATTAAATACATTTGCTTCACTCAAGTGTGGGAGGGATTATCTGGCGATGGGACCAACTGTTCTCAATGTGGTGAGATGCTGTGGATTTTTGGGATCTCCAGGGTTTTGATATAATTTTTTTCAATCATTTCAGGTGGTCCAGTGTCTGGACAGCACCCACGCCGACTCGATAGATGCATTCACATGTGATATGATAATCGCAATGCTGCAGAAACTATCTTTAAGGAGACATCAACGACTCTACATGATCGCCTCAGGTCTCGTGGAGTGGCTCGTTCATCATTTGAAGGCTGAGGGCCACTCCATGGGTACTTACAGGCTCGAGTACGCAGCCGCTTTGTTAATGAATCTTTCGCTGCATAAAGAGGCGCAGATCAGAGCTGCTGCCATGGCAACTGTACTCATGTCAACTCTCATTGCTCTCCTTGCTACTGAACATTTGCCAGCGCTGCCGTATGTCAATGGTGCTCTCAATAGTTTTTTAGCTAATAGTTCTATCAATGAGGAGGCGAGACACGTGGGACTTGGGGCTATCCTGGAATATCACAGGAAGCGGAGAACTGGGGAATTGAGGAAACACCTGGAGTACATACTTGATCGTCATCAACGACACCCCAATGAAACCATTGAGGAATTACTCAATGATGACGATGATAAGGAAGAGTTTGATGTACTTGAAGATGAGTTGGATGAGATGGACCCCGTCAAGGTCAACGTGGGAGATCTCTTCGGGGAAACGCTTTTGGCGAGTTGTTATTCTTTGAATAATTTGCGGTCTAATAGTCTTGATGTAATGAGTGTTAAATCACCGGTTATTGTGCAACAAGTACCAGAATCTCTGTCTTATGATTCGAGGGAGGGAGATAATCAGGCGGGAGTTGGCGATTGGAAGTCAAAGAGGTGAGGAATTTATTCGTTTATTTGTTCTATCGATCAATTAATGGGAAATTTTTTAAATAATTTTTGTATTTTTGGTGGGTAATAAAAAATTCTTCAGATTAACGTGTGAAGCTCACGAGCGAATATACCCAAATCCGATAAAACTGCAGGGACTTGGGTATTCCATCGAGAGCTCCTTTCCAACCATAAATGAATTCTCTCCCCTGGGGAACGAGAAAAATCCCTCAGTCGATTCCAGATCGTCCTTTTTAACGTCCTTCGCCTCCCAGACCTCAATCACAAGACCCGATCCATCCAATTACCTCATCACTTCCTTGGAAGACGTTGGAAATTAATTAAAAACTACTTACGAGGGAAAAACTATTTTACGGTAATTGAAAAGAAAATTCCCGCAGCCCCGGACTGCTCGTAAAACTTTGACTCGGCTGTTGGAAAGTTATAAAACGGATTCATTTGAGGAATTCTGACATTGTGGCGAAAGTATATATGTATGCGAATCACAGAAGTCACGGGAGGAATATGTAGATTCTAACTCAATAGTAAAATGGAAAAAGTTTTCGAGATTTCGGGGAAGATCCCGTAATCCAGGAATAGATCGAAATTTTTTTCTGAATATTTTTTACAGGGTGTAACGGAAAAAAATGAATTTCGTTTCAGGGAAAGTCCTGTTAATGTGAGTGCTGTTTCGTCTGATCGAATTCGAGGTAAGAAAATTCTGTAGTAAAAGTCGAGGAAAAAACCAGTAATTCGATTGAAATCGATGAAATGGAAATGCCGATGACGAATAAAGGGATCTCTATTTCGGTGAAATCATTGACTTTCACTGTAGATAAGTAAATACGGTTCACGACCTGAAAACAATGAAAATAAGTGGATCACGTACTGAACGAAAGTAAATGGAAAACAGGATATAAATTTGCGTGGAACTCGAGTGTTCTTTATTACGTTTAACTTTTTATGTTCCAGGTGAGAATGGAATGGACGGTCCCCCATCATTGTAAGTACCCTTTCACAATATTACGTGAGAATTGAATTCAGTGGAGAAGTGGTAAAAGGCGAAGATTCCAATTTCCGGGGTTTTTTTGATCGATTTATCGAGAAAACTATTGATTTTCCAGGAGAACACGAAAGATTTTTTTTATTTCGCCACTTAATTGCCGAATTCTTTCTTCCGGTTCGTTTAAATTTTGATTTTTCTTTTCCCCGAAGTTCCCCGGAAGGACTACAAAGCAGTGAAATTCCCCCAGGGGACGAGGAAGAGGCGTTTGCAGCGAAACCGAAGATCACGAGAACTCCTCCTCAAACAGCAGTGGCACCTGAATTTCGACAAGTGAGAAAATCCGATAAAATTCGTAATTGAACCGATCTCTTCCCCACGAGTGCCTCCGGCAGTCCCTTCGTGGATAAACAAGATTTTTATTTCTATCACACTTTATTCAACTCAACATTACCCCAACGATCGTATACATTAAAATGAATCAAATAACAAAAATAAATAAAGAATAATAACTTAGTGGAGAAAAAATGAATACAAAATTTTGTGAAGAAATTCTCACGCCCTACGAGTATCCGAAATAGCTGCCAGGTCCAGCAGGGGGATGTCCGTTATTTGAATACCCCGATGTGTAGCTAGAGCTGGGAGAGGGATAGTGATGTCCAGATGAAAAAGGCCCTGCACTCCTGACTTTGTACCCGGAGCCTCCTGCGAACATTCCCGATGGATAATTTTCAGGATTCATAATTCCATGCGCCCCAGGTCCATCCTTGATGATGATTATTTTCCCAGGAGCTTTAGGGAATCCCCCAGCGAAGAACTGCCCTGAAGATGTGTGCTGTTTGTAATTGGAATTTGGAAGGGATGAGTGGATGTAATTTGGTGCTGCGTGGTAGCTCCCAGGGTTGTCTCTGTGGATGCTGCTCATGAGAGATTTGAGGGCATTCGGCATTTGGGATAGCCTGTGGCTCTCAGGGAAAGTCCCCTGGTGTCCCTCGGGGTGTCTACCTCCTGGAAAACCTGAGTACCCCTGGTAGGACCCTGAATGCCCTCCGTAGTTCCCAGGGGATGAGTTACTCTGGCCACTCGTGTAGGACGTCGCCTTCGAGGTGTACGAGACAGTCGATGGTGACGCGTATTCAAGCCCCAGGTCTTGCCCTCCACCCTGACTCCCTGTGTACCCTGAGAAACCCACGGAACCTGAGGTGTGAGGACTCGAGTAGTCGAGGGTTGCACCCTGGGGAGAGTAATTGCTCTCGGATCCTGAGTCACTCTGGTATGATGCTGTCAGGGTGTTCAGGGATTCTGCGGTGCTCGCAGATGAGGGACTGTACCCACTGGATTGCGAACCCTCTGGGTATGATGGATTTCCGTACACTGAGGAGTAACGAGGGGATATCGAGGTGGGATAGCTCGAGGTCAATAAATCCTGACGATCTTTAGAGGACTTGAAGGCACTTGGTGTATAACTCCCTGAAGTGTAGTCTTGTGGACGGGACAGGGTGTAACCTGGAAGCAGGTTTTCCATTTTTCTCACAAAAAAAAAATATATTGAAAGGGCATGACTAAATCCGAAGAATCAAAATTATCTCAGAGGTGTTGATCAATAAAAATCAATTAATATCCTTGGTGGATGATTAAAGTACCGCAATCAGCGGTTAATGAATACAAATTTCTACTCTCTCGATGGAAAAATATTTTCTATTTTCCAACGATACTCATTTCTTCTCCAATGTTCTGATTTGGGCCATTGAATATGTATGCCATGCATAACGTCTGCACATTATGTGGAAAGTGGAACACATATATTTTTTCTTCTTTTAACTTTTCTATGATAAGCAGAAACTCGTTTGAAGTAGCGGTAAACTTTGAAACTTTGCCTTTAATATTTTAGCAGGCGATTCCCACTGAATTTCCCACTTCAAATGACAAAACTACAAGATAAATCTGACAACTCACATATAACAGGGCATGCAGCATTTGCCAGTAGAGCAATAATTATAATTGCTGTCTGTAAGAAACCAATGGATTAATAAAAAAAATTTCCAAACATAAAGAAAATGAAAATATATCCATTAATAATTAAACAGCGGTTACTCACGGAGAACATTTTATTAATTGATTGATAACAGAACGAAACGAGCACAATTTTGCGATTATTTCAAATGGGTTCCCAATTTGATGGGGATTCCCACGTTAAACTGATGGTTGTTGGGCTCTCGTTACGGTTTTATATCCCCATTGGCCCCTTCCTACATGAACTTCAAGTAAAAGCAATATTTCAAATCGACGATTGAGCCAGGACATTGGCTGGAACTTGACCGCGCAGTGCTGGGGAAAGAGTTTAACCGGATTTATATCGTCTTCATTTACGGGGAAAGCAAATGCCCATTTTTTTCTCCTTTTTTTTTGTTTCTAACATGAACATGAACATAACATGAACATGAATAGTTAACATGAACTTGCACACGTGAAATTCGTGTTTTATCGACGGTTTTTCGGGTTTATGGCTATCGAATCCCCGAAAATCTCGGATGAAGTTTATCCCGGGGATCGTATTCCCCTGATAAAATCCAGATATTGTAATTCCACGGTTAAATTTAATTAATTCAATTGAGGATTGAAAAAAAAAATTCCATAACAATTGTACCAATTATTCTTTTATTGTACTGGGAGAATTGTTTGAAATATCACGAATTTATCGGGAAATTTAATCGAAATCGGCATAGGCGTTTTTGACATTTCGTTATTAAATTTCTTTTTTAATAAAAATTTATTTATTAATTAAAAATAACGATGTTCCTGTGAAAGTTCATGGAATGGTGAATTTTTGCTTTCATCACCTCAATTATTGCCAGAAATTGAAATAAAATTCAATAACAAATATTTCTCCGGTGGAAAAATCGTCGGCATTTTTTTTTTCAACGTTTTATTTTCATTCGTAATGAAATAGAGAGCTCTCATCCTGCTGAATTGAACATCGAGGACGCCGATGCGGGCCAATGTTTTTAAAAGTTCGGAATTTTCTAATGAGCAAACTCGGTTTACCTTCTTTAACCTTTTTCTTTCACTTTTGTGGCGAATATGAAGAACGTGGATTTAATTTCACTTGGAAAAAATAACGTATCATCATCTCCTTCAGTGAAAGGAACACACGTGACAATTCAGCCTGAACGTTCGCCAATTAGCCTTTTGTATTCATGATTAAGAACTATTAAATTTTATCTCTCATTCACTTTCTCGGTGATGATCGAATGTAACGCCCAAAAAAAATATATCGTGTCAATTTTTCGGGTGGTCATTCTTTTGTTTATTCGTTTGTGGTCTAGTCTCACATCGCGTGTGTACGTGTGAGGGTGTAGGGAATATAAATGGAAAAGTTTCAGTTCAAAGGAAAGTGTTTTTTCGGTCTCCATTTTATTTTTTTTTAAATAGAAAATCCATCTGATTAAATTCTGGTGAAGTGGCAGAGAGTAACAAGTGGATTTTTTTTTTTTCAAACCAGGAATCCTCTGTATTTAAGGGAGATAGCGTAATTTTTGTTTCAACTTCTTTTGTACCTCTCATTTGCCTCTACAAAAGTGTTGCCAAGAACAATTTGACTAGCTCCTCTAGATTCAGAGATATTCCTGTAAAAAAAGTGGACGAGTGTTTTCGGGGTTTGGTGGTGGAATTTTTCTACAGAATTAAATTCGATTTCAATGAAGTAGTTGAAAAAAAGAATATATTTTTTATTTCTTGTGAAATCCGTGGGGATTCCACAAAAATTGGATTGGTTTTTCTTGTTTGTATTCCATTCCCAGATACGAACAGTTGCGTGAATATAAATGAAAAAATTTCAGTTGGAAGGAAAGTTTTTTGGTACGTTCTCCATTCTTCCAGGAGAGATAAATCCATCAGATTAAAAGGTTCATCCACAATTCCAACCTCGCAGGTTGACTATTGATGACACCAATTAATGCTTATCAATTCAAGGAGTGTTTGATGGCAAGTGTTTGAACATGAAATATTTTTCCATGTCTTTGCTGTAGAAATCATCAAACAGTGTCATTCCTTTCTACTGAGAATGCCTTTGTCCCGTTGCATGAAAATGTGGTATGGAGCTTGTGATTTTGTGCATGCAGTTTGGTAAATAGAGCACGAGAATTTTCTAGTCTAAAATTCCGATATCTTCGGTGTTCTTTGATGGGATATTGGCTATTCTCCTTCCTTTGCTCACCGACGACTGCTCCAAATCATACGGGAAAATGAAAAAAATATATATAATCAGTCGATCGTGTTTCCAGTGATTTTTAATCAATCGTAATAAAGAAATAATAATAACAAATAAAAATGTACAAATGGGTAATTAATTGTAATGCACGAAAGAATTATATATTTTTGCATTTAATCGCCTGGATAATTCAGTTTAGTTGAAAATTATAATGAATAATGACGAGTTAACGCAATAGAACGTTAATTATAAGTGAGTAAAAAATAATATATCTTCAATGAATCTCTTATACTGCATCTATTCACTGTCGGTTATCCTTCATCGTTATTCCTTTTTTTTTTTTCATTCGCTTCTCCCTTTTGTTTTTTTTTATCTAATTACAATGATTGAATTGTTTAACGTATTGGAAATGTCTGTTAGACATGCAATTGGTGCACACTCGATGGAAATTCTTAATCACTAATTTACTTTTTTTTCCGTTTCGTCTATTTTAATTGTTACGTTACTTTGGTTTTAAATTAAGGACTAGTCTGTTGAGCTTCACTCTGTCCTGACACAAATTATTTATCTTTTATTTCAACTGGTTTTCTTTTCCTTTATTCTTTATTATTTCTGGTTATGAATTTCGATGACACATACGAGCAATTATAATTCGACATATTTTTTGGTTTTCGTTTTTAAAAATGACAGTCAGTTGTAGGCTGAAATAACATCGAAAGGATAAATATCGAAAAAATAATCTATAACTGAAATAATTATTCTTATCAGTGTTTTCGATGTAATTATTCATTATAAAAAGGCAGGAATTAATTGGCAGTTGTTGGAACGCAAGACAATTATTTTTCGTTTTAGTTTCAGTCAAAATTATCGTCGTTATTTTAAAAATGGTTTAGTATTGTGGCGTTATTTGGAGTTTTATCTGGTTTTGGATTTATGATTAAATGGTATTTAATTCAATTGAGATAAATTCATGACAAATTGAAAAAATTTGGGTGAGGATTTCTCTAGATTGTCGAATGATGCGAAGATGACAGACGAAGCACACAGATTCTTCATTTATGTACCATTTAGAATTGGAAATGGAATTTAGAATTAGAATGTAAAAATACTATATATATGTACAGTAATTATAGTATACCGATGGATGAGTTCTGGTGGGCTGGGGAATGGGGGGCAATTCATTCATTAAATTACAATTATATCGATACAATTGGAGAGCATTTACCAACATTTACGTTGTACCTCGAAAAAACAGTGATGATTACTCCTGGAGTGATCGCAATTTTTCACACTTAACACTTAAAGATGAATTTCTCGTTTATATTTCAATAATTTCTTTCTCTCTGTGACACCATTTTTTTTTTCGTAACAGTATGATAATTATCCGTATTTTCGTAATATTATTTTATCAAAAAACATTCACTTATTGGCACATAAATGGAAGCGGCATACCAATGCTTTTTTTTTTCCTGGTACGTTGAAAGAAAATGCGAATGATTTTTTTTACTTCTTTAGATATTTTTATCGATAAAAATTGAGTCATCATCAAACAATTCAGCTTCTGCCAATTCATCAACGAATTACACTTCAATGCATTCAAACATTTATTAAATTTTCTTCCTTGAGCGACAATCAATTCGCGAATATATTTATACAATTGAAAAATTGAAAGACCGAGAGGTACATTAAATAACTTGACAATAATTGTTGATTTGTTTTTATCTTTCAATCGAGTTTCGGTGCGTTATAATAATACTTCAATTATTCCCCATGCTTTTGCCATTATCTGGATTTTCAAGGGACACCACTGATGTATTCAGTGTATATCATGAAAATAAGAGAAAAACCGAGTGTTAACGTGATTATCATTCATCCATGCATTACAAAAAAGCTCCCGATCACTGAAATATTCTCGTAGCATTGATATAATTCGTTATTAAGTTTTTTTCTTTAACCATGATCATTTTTCAATTCTTCATAACTATCTAAATTTTATATACATTTATTTACAAGTTAAAACCCACTCATTCAATATCTTCCCCACTTACGCGTCATACTTTAATGATTGTATAATTAGGATTGACTATGCCTTAGAATAATCAACGGAATAATGAGTTAATTTTATTTTGTTATCTTTTCATTCTCTTCTTTTATGTAAAATATGAAATATCGTGCCATTATCAGATGGTATATGTCCATCTCCAAGGTACTATTTTGGACGTAATATCGGCCCTTAAACTTGTCTAGCACTTTGATGAGCAAATACTTTGGAGATTACATAATCTATCGAATTATCAATCATTCTCACCGACAGCTTTATCCTAGTATAGATGATTTTTTCATTCCAGTGTCCTTTTTCCGTCAATTACAAATATAAAACATGTATATGTAAATAGAATTCTTAATTATGCGCGAACATGTTCTCTAATTGAGCATACGTGAATGTGTTTTTTTTTTATTCCCTTTTTTTTTTCATTTTCATCATTTTTTAAATATCATCAGTCTAAGCCGATCCCAACGTCGACTCCACACACAACAGCATAACAATACATGTCTCAATAAGCCTGCGTAGAATTACTACAATTTTTTATCAACAAATAATTGCAATAATCAAATAACATTCGGCGTAATAAATTCCTTTGAATTTTTCATCGCTGGATTTTTTTTTTTAAATTCTCTCTCGCGTTAAAAACTTTCCGACAATACTAACCGAGCATGGAACACACATTTCTGGTGTTATTTGTGACGTTACGGGCCACTGAATTTACTGAATGTCCTATTTACCTTCACGTTCTGGTACATTTAATCGTGGGGCAAATTATCTTCTCTACTTTCAAACATGTTTAAAATAAATTTTAGGCAGTAGTTGCATCACATTTCAGCTTTTTCTTCCTCGTACAATAATTTCTTATGTGTATTGCATGCTGCAGTTGCATTTTTAGTAAACAATTGAGAAAAGAAATAATTGGAATCATTAATTTTCATCTCAAGTACTTTTCAAAAATATACACTACCTAGGCATTTTTGGAATGACTGAATGATAATTAATAAACGTCTCAATTAAGGGGGGAATTCAAATGCTTTTTGCAATGGAAAAAAAATTCTGTCATTGTCTTCATCGTAATATTTCTCTGTTATGGTTGTCTGTATTTTATAATGCAATATTATCATGAGACCCTCATATGATCCGTTGACATTACTTTTTTCTTCGTATTATCATTTATTATTCTTGTTATTTTGTCTTTTAGTTGAATTGTTGAGATATCAGAGACGTTTAATTATCCATATAAATTTACGTATAGTACTATTTACACAGAACGTTATAAAATAAATTGACAAAAATATAACATATGGTATGAACATTGAGTCAACTGAGGGGCCAAATAATTTGAATCGTATGCTGAAAGACAGGCGCTTATACCTGGAATTCTAGCTGAACGAAGGAAGGGAGAAAAATATTTTACACCTTACGCACTAATTCTCTTTTATGGATCTGTGATCCGAGGATATTTATCACCACACGGGGGATCAAGTCGTTAAAAAATCCATCATAATATAATACAATCAATTGAAATCCTTTCGTTGATAGAGAGATTTTTTTTCGCACCTCGTTAAGAATTTATACACCTATTGACTTTTTTTTCATAGGTATTGAGGGTTGAAATATGTCCTGGGGATAAAGGATTTTCCAACGAAAGGAGTGATCCACTAGTGTGTAAAATTCGTTACGATCGATTTATGTACAGGGTATTGCGCATTGCTCGTTTCTCGTTCAGAAAGGGCACAGCACATATTCCAGAAAATCACTGGGTAATTAAAGCAATTGTGATTGGTGAAATCACTACTTCAGTGATTCACAGCATTCTCAGGGGGCTCCACAGAGTTGTGAAATGATTTTTGTCCTGGTGAATAGTCGAGAACCCCCTGGGAAAACAGCAATCGAGATGTAATTGACCGAATGCCATCACTTACCGAAGTCACGAATTATCCGAGGTGAGGAATGACGAATGGTGTAATCATTGGATCGAAATAAATCATCCTAAAATTGATTACAGAAATTTGATGACGATGAGAGAGTGACCAGGAATGGAAGTGATAAAAATGTCTAAAGTGAGTGAGAGTGAGGTAATAAATAAATTAAAGTTGAGTAACGCGTTCGGATCTGACTGGATTATCTAGCCTCGGTGTAGCTGGTGAGAAGCCCTGATGATTAGCGACGACCGAGACATTGAGCGAATTTCAGACGAGATGTCCATCGATATCCGAGTAACTAGGTGTCGATGTAAAAGTTGACAGTGGATGGCCGTGGGAATGCACGGGGATGGGGCCCGCACGTGCAAATGTAGCTGGCGGGGGGGGTACCGAGGGGGGAATCGGTGACTTTGCTCCTGCAGTCATAACAGTGACGTCTGGGGGGGGCACCGGTCTCGGTAATGTTCGGTTCCTCGTCAATGTTCCAGTGCTTGTGTGCAATTGATTTCCATGGATTGGACCTCCTAGGGACGGATAATAGGCACCTGGACCGGGTTCGTTCATCACCGGTACAGGGCTTGGATTTGCTTCATATCCGGTATAGCGGCCACTGTCCATCTCCACACTGTAGAAATTTACGTCGCTCGGTGGGGCTGGACTGGGATTCCCGATGTAACTCGATTTCGACACTGTGGAGCATTAAATTTATTTTTTTCATTCATTTCACTTTCATTTAATCAAGGACGACCTCGGAGACGGGCAATCGAGGAGACACAGTGCACGCGTGAAATTCGATAGAATATTCATTTTTTTTTCTATTCACTCAATTTTTTTGCCATTCGTTTTGAGATTGGCTAATTATCCCATCGATTTTTCATACGTACTATAAATGCTCATGCAAATATGAGAAAAACCTCGCAAGTGTATGACGCTCATGTGCCTCACGTCCCCTTCGTTGATGACAAGCAAGCGGACATGATTATTCATTCATGGAATCAATGAGAAATATCAGTAAGAACAATGACTGATGACCAGATTGTGGAAATTGACAGATTATCTACGTGATGATAACCATGCAAAAAATGTCAGTCTATCAACGTAAAAATTGATTCCAACGAACAGTTATAAAGGTCTGGTGATGGGTAAACATCAACAGCGACAAACTTGAGAGGTTTTTGCACCTATTTGTGGGCTCGATTGGAGCTGTTGTGGATGACGCACCCGAGAGTGTACCACTGGCTGTGGTACGTTGCGGAGGTGAATCCATCGGCATTATACTCGATACGTGGTTTCCACGTCTACCCAGTGTACCTTGATGATGTACCTGCATTTCAAGGCTACTTTTACCAAACTCTTGGATACTCTGATCAATTAAATATGTACTGGCAGCTGTCTTCCTCCCCTCGTCCTGAATCACATAAGAATTCATCCAATTACTCCTCCAATTTTAAACACTCCACCAATTATCTACCATTACATCCTACGATTTCCTAAATTCAGAGAACGTGCGATCAATTAGTCCCGTCCCATAACGAAATGAATAAAAAAAAAAAGGTGGATCAAATTCTCGTGGAAATTCTGTCGGCAGATTTTTTCATTTTTATCAATGATTATTATTGTTACATATGAAAATAAATATTTTCATAAGGGTTTTATCGTTGTTTTCATTTCCACGAGAAATGAGAGGAGAGTAAATGAAAGAGAAAAATAAAGAAACTGAAAGAAAGCTAAATTAATTGACTGATAAACTCGAGATAAAGTCGATAAAGTACTGGGGGTAGGTTTTGTTGAAATAAAGAAAATAAGGGGGTGAAAATAAAAGTGTTAATAGAACTCAAACCTACCCTCCGTAATTACTTGTTACTAAGAACATACTGACTGATGGCACTGACCACGTAATCATTAGCGTCGAAATTAACGTCACTCTTCTCATCCGATACCGAACTTAATTCACCCGTCATTGTGTCACCATTGACAGTTGATGGTGCGTACATGTCAGCAGTCTGGGACTTGTTGATGCCTGGACAAAACGTCATAGAAAAAAATGCATAAAGCCCTTAGGAATAAAATCTAAAGTACGATTTTCCAATTCGAATTATCTACCGATTAATCTTTTAATGACCATATCATTGAATTGATAAATAATTTAATGAACTTACGATCTTTGCTTCGCTTTCGTACAATGTACCATAATAGGATGCAAAGATTAATAATAAAAAAGATGGCCGATGTTGCTGCGACAGTATAGACATAATTCATTGGCATGTCACTGGTTTCCAGGAGGAGATCGTGCTGTCTCTCACGGTTATTCGGACCTAATTTTTGGTGAAAAAACATAAAAAAAATGGGGTATAATTACCAGAGCGGTGCGCCTTCTTTTTGGACTTTAATGTGGCATAGAGTATGGGCGTAGCAATGAGTAGACAAGCACAGGCAGAAACAACGATGATTATGATGATGGTGTAGGAGGTGTTAATCTCGCTGGTGGTCAACTCTGTTGGTGGTGCTTCGCCTGTAACCCAAGCCAATAAACCCCATCACCCTCTAGTGTTATTCATGCACCTCTAGGTACCGTTAGTTCAATTTCATTTACTTCAAGACTATTTACTATTTTCTATTTCAGTTACTACCTAACGATCTCGATAGGTTTTAATGAGTATTCGAAATTCACGGTAATTCGGGTGAATGTCACTGAATTGAATTTTATAATCAACTTCAATGATTTTTAATACTCTGATTTCCCTCCGTTATCAGCGCAAAATCTCACATTTTAATCTATAAATCCCGGGAAAATGGAGACGTTTTGTTTCTCCGAAGAAAAAAGCCTTTCCCAAGTACTTGAATATTTTCAAGGAGTTCGGAAGCTCCACTTCGCGTACAATCTGGAGCACTCGAATGGTATCTAAACGAGAGCCCGATAAAAACTTAATTTCAGGGAAATGTGAGAAAAAAAAAGAAAAATGTGAAAAACTCATTTAAATAGATTCTCAAATCATCAATTAATGACAAATTCACGCGATCGATGAATTGATAAAAAAAAAAGGGATCGTTCTATTTTCATTTGTGAAAACGAGAGAAAGGGAATCCGTAAAAATAAAAGGGCTTGAGTCTCCGAGTAAAAAAAAAGCTTTCCCAAGTACTTGAATATTCTCAAGGAGTTCGGAATCTCCACTTCCAGTAGAATGTCTGAAGCACTCAAACGATATCTAAACGATAATGCTTGAGACTCCAAGCAGGCAGTGGCCGATTGTCATGTCATTTGTTATATTCTGATCGACTTTCTTAATAAACATCTAAACTACCCATGCAATCGTTTTTAATGAAGTCATTCGCTGGTGTGAGGTATTCCAACTAATTGAAGCACAAGACAACATGAATGATGGGTAGTACATGATCCTGATAATTTTCATACTTACGTAAAGTTTGAATTTTAACGAGATCTGGTAGAAATGGACTCTCGCCCTTTGAATTTCTCGCCATAATACTGAATACGTAGAATGTACCTAGGTTGAGGCCTGTTATCGTTGCTGTGTAATCACCAGGTTTAACATCGAGATAATAATAACTGTCGAGATAATCATTAGCCTGTCTCCATCTGATACGATGGGACGTTGGTAAACCCCCATCAAAACCCCTCTTCCAAATTAATGTAACACTATCGTGGGTTACATTGTATACTTGAAGATCGCTTGGTTGGTCTGGGGGTGATGTTACGTCGAGGTGTACAGAGTCTGACGTTTTACCCAGACGATTTTCAGACCGGCAACTGTATGTACCGTAATCACGTTGATTCACGTGGTATATTGTCAAAGTTGATTGTACCTCCAACTTGGAAACCTGAAACATTTTTTACTCGTTTCAATATGGAAACGTTTCTCCATCTGTTTTGTTGCGCATCTTCTGCACGAGTTCCGCATCACCTGAATTTATTTCATTTCCATTCCCCAGAGCTTTCGAAAATTTTTAATTGAGGGGATGAATTTATTTGGTTGTATTTTTTATTTATTTATTTTTTTCATTGGAAATTATGGAATTTATCTCCGCTCGCGGCATCATTCCTACAAATAATCCCATTGAATAATACAGAAGGTCATGATGTTGTTTCTCGTGGTTTGATTGTCTCTCCAAATTGGAGACCTGAAAGAATTTTCCACGGTCTATAATGGAAACATTCTCCCTGTTTTCCTCCTGTTCTTCTGCACGAGTGGATAAAGTAAAAAATAAATTACGTTTATTCTCCCGAGCTTTACAAAACTCAGAGAAAATCCCATGAATCGCAATCCGAATAACGAATTATTTCGTTCTATTCAGGGACAGCCCTATTGAAAGCATTTCGGAGAGTCGAAACTTTGGAAATGTTTGGGAATTGCGTTTTGAGTTTGGAACGGAATTAGAAGTTCTCGGGAATATGTTTGAAATTTCTGATTGAAGACATTTCGCTGAGTTGAAAGGGAAAACTCGATTAATTCCAATTGGAGAAATTACCGAATTCACCGCTTTATTCAATTTTTGTCCAATCAACATTCGACGTTAATTATTTCCAAAAAAAATTCAGTCTCCAAGTTTTCAATTTTCGATTTAAAAATCAAACAATCGATTTTTTTACGGAAAATGAGGGGTAATTAGTCTTTCAAGAATTTATTTCACTTTATTACTGAATGCAAATGGACTAATTGCTCATTTAAATTGAATAGAACTCTGAACAAATAATTTTCAAATGAAACAATTTATTTGGAGGCAGATGTGTTTTAACTCAATGCATACAACATTAAACCCACGAGTTTCATCGGAACACGATCATTAATTGAATCGTGACAATGGTATCTCGCCAAAACCAACGAAATACTGGGAATTGATATAAACGCATTATTATCAGCTTGTTTACCTCTTTCCTGGAGGTATCATATTTATGGGATGTCATGTTTAATTCAAGAATTTACCATTGGGCATTTGAGAAAAGAGTCAACAAAAAATGAATTACACAGAAATTTAAATATTTCGTTAAAAAATCACACGAAGAGGTGGAACTATAATATTTACCTCTTTCCTGGACACGTCGTGTTTTTGGGATGTCATGTTGGGTAGGAGTAATTTTTCCCCGAAGTACCACACGAATTTTGGGAGCGGTGATCCACGTGCCTTGCAATGCAGCTTCACATCGGATCCAGTATTGGCAGCAGCTTTCCTCATTATCGCAGTATTCGTCATCTGTGGCTCGACTACAGTAAAAACAGAATGGAAAAATTCCCCCGAAAAAAAAAAAACAGGAAATTAGTCTTTCTTCAAAACTTGACCAATGAAAATGAAAAAAAAAACGCACGCAGCATGGAACCTACAATTAGTGATAAAGAGAATGGGCTTTGACGTAACATTTCCAATTCCATTGTTAACGTTGCATCTGTATTCACCAACGTCCTCTTCACTAGGATTGCTGATGTGTAGATACGAAGTTTTGTTGATAAAAGAGGTTGAATAACGACTCGACAATTCTGTTGTCGAGCCAACTTTGTACCACGTTACGTATTCATCACCAATTGGACTGCCATCCAATTCACAGAATAATTTAGCCTCTCTGTCACCAGGATAGACCATACCTGATTCTGATGTGCGTTTTATCTCAGCACCATCTGCAGGGTTAAAATTAGGGGCAATTAGTCGATCGCAGACTGACGAAAAAATTCATATAATTGAGTGAAATACGAGAGGAACAATAATCTTGAACAGGAGTTGGGATATTGTTAGTGCTTACATTGAACTGTTATGTTGAGCTGATAGTCCGTTGATCCCTCGTTGTTGGATGCCTTGCAAATATACATTCCGGCATCGGTTCTACTCAGCCTGGTGATATTCAGGGTCGAGTCACGAGATTTAATCCTCGCATTGTCACGACTCAAGGGCAATCCATTCCTCGTCCAGGAGTAAACGATGTCTGAGGGATTACCCTTGGCTCCTATCGATATGACGTACGGCTCACCCTCCATACCATCGAGCTCATTCGAATCGATGGACGTGAATATGGGTTTATCTGCGAAATTCATCGACATTATAACAATCCAATCAACTCATTTTATAAATTTAATCTCAACGTTTAATTAACTCACACAATATGTTGAGAGTTGTGGCGTCGTGGGTCGACCTCTGCATCTTGGAATTTCTCGCTTCGCAGGTGTACACATCGCTATTCATATTTTCAGTTAATCGAAGCTGGAGTTCCACTGTGGACACCCAACCCGCGTGGAGACCAATTTTCGTCGTATTTTTTGTACCCTTGACAGCTATTCCAGCCTTCCACCACGACATTTCAGCTGGTGGATTGCTGCTACTCGATTCACATATCAATCTACCTGTCTCGCCTGCGCGAAATTCCTTGGGCTCACGTGTTATCTTCACTTGAGCTGGTGGAAAATTCACCTTGAGGATGACTTTTTTGCTCATCGGAATAATTGTGGCTGAGTTTGAGGCGTCACACCTCATGTGCGCCTTATTGTCGGACGCGTTCACCAGGATCTCAAGCTCATTTGATATGGCGTGATCTCGTTCCCTTATGGTACCCATTATTTCTTTATCATTTTTGAACCAAGTCACTGTGGCCAGAGGATTGCCAGCTGTCGCGGTGCAGAGAAGCTTGAGGACAGCTCCAGCATCAATCTGCTGGTGTTCCTCGTAACCGCTGATCGTCAGTCCTGCTGGAGGATCTGACAAAAAATTATTGGTGATGGAATCCGAGGGAATTATTTATCAGCTATCGAGAAAATTGATTCCAGTGATACTTACAAATGACGTTAATGGTGTGAGTCTTCATGGTGTACTCAGCGAGTTTCAAATTGATAGCACTGCAAATAACGACAACGCTCTTTGCATTTTGATTGATATTGAAAGTGATATTGGATGTGGTGATCCATCCGGCTTTGCCATCCAGCTGAGTTTTTGAATTGGTGCTATTAAATTCTATACCGCCTACAGTCCACTTGATATCAGCTGCTGGATTAGAATTGTCTGTTGTGCACATCATAGTGACACTCTCGTTGGCTTTAGCCTCTGTGGGTCCAGTAATTGTCACAGAAGCTGGACGGACTGTTGTACAAACAATAACACTTTAGACACCGTAAAACGTATTATAGCGAATTTACCTCTTTGATGGTACTTACAGAGAACGGTTAAATCAACGTGAACTTTCATTGGTGTGACACTCATGACATTTGATACGACACAGCTGTACCGTGACTTGTCGTCCTCTGACTGAGCCTCGAATGAGAGGACATTCTCAGACAGGCTGTTGTAGGTACGATAAACACTACTCTTGACCTCTTGATTCTTCATCCAAATCACTTGAGCTGGTGGATTACCACCCCGTGATCTGCACACGAGCTCAACCTTCTGACCCCGTCTGATTGCATCCCCCTCGTTGTAGCCCTCGATGTAGGGGGCACCCGGAGGATCTGCAGTTCAATATTTTTACCATTTAACAATCCTGTCTTTCGTGGAAATATCTCAAAATCTGTGGGAGACAGGTGAATCTTGTAAGGAACTTTTTTATAGACTTCTGTGAGCTCTCGAAAAAAGGTCATTACGAAAATATTGTCTGTCCAATAGGTTTCGAGATATACAACGAATACTCGTGCGACTTAATGAACTCGGCACTTTTATCGCTCAAGTTTCGAATGGATTGGATTTTTTAATTAAAAAACTTACAGAAGACAGAGAACTTGACTGTTGCTCGCATGGGTTTGTCGATGGGGATGGCGGGGTGTCTGGCCTCACAGGCGTAATCCATCCCATCATCGTCGACTGTTGGTGCAATTGTCATTGAACTTTTGGTTTCGTATTTCAGGAGTTTCCTTTTAGCTTCCCCGGGTTTCGGTATCTCCTTATCTGTTGTCGAGCCAAAATTAAACAATGAGAAAACGACGGGAGATCCGTCACCCTTACACTCCTAGATTCTCGAATATCCGTGGAATTGCAGATTTGCGAGGGAATGGGAATAAATGCCAACATCACTGCACCAAATAAACCCCTTTACACTCCAACTACCGAATTAATATCACTCGAGATATTCAATATTTTCTGAAATAAATTTCACTCGAAAAAAAATTCAAATTCTGCATTTTTAATCGATTATTTTTCTTTGTGTAAACAATGGGAAATAAATCAATGAAGTTTTCAAAAATAGATGAAGCAATTATTTATTAATTTAATATTTGTTTTATTAATCTGATTATAATTCCGATTCCAATTAATGATTTGCTATGGGCAGCTACATGAATTAATTAGAACGGCTCCATAATCACGTGCCAATTGTGATATTTCGGAAATTGAAATACGGAAATGTAAATGGTGTATTTTGGTGTTGAAATGATTTGAGTTTTGGGGAAAATTGTTGAGCCCTGGAACAATGCCACGTCATATGCAGATATGGAGGAAAGGGATTTCCGTAAATCCTCACGTAAACAATAAATATTTTTTTCCCATCGTGCTTTCTTGGGAAAAGGCGAGTGGTGAAGTCGGTTTTATTCACTTTTTTTTTTTCCACTCAGTCGAGGGAAAATGACTTTTCCAGAAATACGTATTTCTCGCTGTTGAGGCGGAAGTTTGGAAATAGGTTGCTCTTTGTCCCTTCATACTCACTCACTTTCTTACTCACTCAGGCTCTAGTCACTGACAGGAGGGCCAAGTTATTGAGGATGATGCTACAGGAAGGAATAGCGTAGTGACATAAATCGATAGCTCTAGATACGCTCTGGAAATCACTCTTTGGGGTCGTGCATCGTCGGGTTTGGATATGGAAGAGATCTCCACTTTGAACTTTACTTGTTTCGAGCTTTTATTTTTTTTTTAACGTGAAACATCCAGTTCCTATCTCAGTTTTATCTGGACCCTCGGGGACACCGTCGGGAAAATATATCAATAATATATCAAACATCGGTCAATTGGATTTCCAAAATTTTAAAGAATAAACAAATTCTTCGTGGGTTTTCATTTTTTTTTGGTTGACAATAGGAACAATAATTATTTTTAATCATTTATTTATATTGGAAAATTGAATTGTATTGAACGATTTTCGTGATTTTTCAAGATGAAAAGGAAATTCAGGATAAATTTTCGATTGAAACTCGCATAAAAAAATTCAGATGAGATTTTAATCGCAATTTAAATAGCTGGGACTCGAAGGAAGGGGAAATGCCCATCACTGGTCAGCCATTCGATATGACTGCAATCGTGTACTTGACAATCTTGACGGGTTCTCCTATTTTTTTTTTAATCCACCTCCACTGCCCGGACCATTCCGACTTTTTCGTTGAGTGGTCTCTTTGACCCTTTTACCCCTTTGTTTTCAATTTTTACTGTGCATTGAACTCACCGTCTTCGATGGAGATTGCGTTGACGCTCGTCTCACCACCAGTGATTGCAAAATTTCCGCGATACCAAACAATTGTTGCCGCTGGTTTTGCAGAACTCACTGTGCACTCGAGACTTCTCGATTCGCCGACATTCACCTCGATTTTTCCGCGATTCGGATAGCCGTTTATTTCCACTTTCTGGGGTGGAGCTGAAATAATAAATTATAAATTTACCAGCACTAATAACAAGTTTATTCAATATTAGCTAAGGTAATTCGTCAATTGATTATTTATTTTATTGATTTATTCATTTTTTAATTTATTCAAGCAAAGAGGATGAACTTGAATTTTCATGGCAAAAATAATTGGTTGGATGAAATTAATGATCAAGTTTACAGCGTTGGAAATTACTAATGGTTAATTAATTTTCCAATAGTGGTGTGTTGTGATGAAATACTGGGGCAGGCAGATGGAATTTTTGGACCCAAAGGCACTTCAAGAGCTCAACCAATCGATAAAATACGCGATTGATGATAACACAAAGGGATTCCAGGTGTATGAAATTTCGCAATTATTTGACAAATTCATTCTATTAAAGAATAGTTCAATTAGAGATTATTATTTCGAATAGCCACTGATTAACTGATACCTACGGAAATACCATCCATCAATTTCCCATTCCAAATCCTTTAGCACGGAAATCGCTACGTGGAAAATCGTTAATTATCGATTAAAATTATGTCTACTACAATATGACGATAATACGCAACCAACAGCTATCGATTTTCTCTTTATACCTCCGAAACTTGGAGATCCGGGTAAAAAAAAATTAATCGAAATATTTTTTCCGAATTTTCAAAAAATTTTTCTTTTGAAAAAAAAAACTGGGAACCAAACAATTGTATTTTTGGGAAATGTTTTGAAAAATAAAATTGTTTTGTTTTACAATTTGTTTTGCTCCATAAAAAAAAATTCTGAAAAGTTTTCCCGAAATTTTTTGAAAATCCGGAAAAAATATTTCGATTGCTATTTTTTTTTTAACCGGGGGAGATAGTAAAATTTGTGATAAGACATTTTTTCGAGCTCTCATTTCACTCTGCAAAAGAGGTAATGTGGAAAATTGCGTTATCTCTCTTGGATTCCAAGATATTCGGTAGTGAATTGAAAACTCATTACTATGGAAGAGCTATGGTGACGAGATAACGATTTGCGGAATCTCGACATCGTAACGAATGGGAATATGATCGTTAATTTTTGTTACATGGCGCAAGTGCAGTGAGGACACTCCCTGTAAATCAAAACCCACTGGGGTAGATTTTACTACGGGCCAAAAGGTGAAGCGACTTCCGGGCGTGGAGACCATCATAAATTCAAGTGTCAAGGAGCTGACTTGCGCGCAGTCTCACACGATAGAATATCACCTTCCCAGAATAAGATCGGGGTTTATAAAGTCTCCTCAATTAACACTTTATACCTAACCTATTACACTGAGAGGAAAGTTTAATAACATGCCCCGAAAATCCCCCCGCGTCACGCTAAGAATATTTTTACCCGCGGAAAACCGCGAAAATCTGTAATTTCCGCGATAAATCGATAATTACTCATTACATTTAATTCCCGCACTCGTGCTGCGGCTTTCACAATTCCCATTGAACATCTCCCATTCTGTCTTGTTTGTCTTCTCAATTCTCGAGTCTTGGCGGTAATTGAAACGAACACTGCGGATATTGCAATTAACTATAATTATGGGCGGCGCCTGCGACGCCGCTCATCATCATCATTATCATTGTACTGAATTTACCCCTGTCACTTGCAGGAGTACATGAAATAATTCGTCAATATTTATTAGCGTAATTAACCAGAGCCCGCTGTGCCAATTGAATTAATTCAACCCGAGTCGAACAAGTGAAACGAATTCATGGAATCAAAGTCCGTGAAATTGTTGAATTATTTTTGTTAAAATTCCTGAAAATTATTTCAGAACCGAAATTACTGGTGGAGGATCAAAACTGAAATTTTTTTCAAACCGCGGTGAATAATAGAGTTTGAAAAAACGAATATTCGGGGGTGAATCGCAATCGACTGTTGTTCGGTGGTCGGCGTTTCCATTGATGCGGAATGTTTTCGAATGAGGATATCAAATCACGTATTTATTTATTAAAATTTTTCGGGGAAGATCAACGAGTGCATTCCCCTCTGGGGATTTCATGCATCGTTGAGTGGGTACCCTGGGAAAATGGGGAGGAAGTGACCCCCGTTGGTATATATATTTATCTGGACGAGGCAAGTAGTGCCCGGAGAATACTTCGTCTCTGGGACACTGTGGAAAATGTGCTCGACCAACCGCTAGTCCTCACCAACGGAACTTCCCGCACCGCCACTTTTCCAGGGGTGCACCGGGTGTTTGGAATATAAATGCGAGACGCCTCTTGTGCGGACTTGTTTTTTGGGGGATGAGGGGGTTATAATAAATGCACTCCCCCAGGAACACAAAGACTCACTCAATATTCCACCAAGTTACATCTTCACTGAGCATTAAATTTTGACAAAAATTTGCAGCCTCCCCCATTCACCAGCTTCCACTATCATTCTCAAAATTCCCCAATTCCACGAATTTTTTTTTATTGTTTTTTATTATTGTTGACATTTTTTATATTTTCAAAATGATTTTCATTCCGATTTCGCTCTACATATCTAATAAAATTTCCTCGGACACAGAAACTTATTTTCTAAGACCCGGAAATTTCCTATAACTGAATTTTCGTATTGAAATTTCGTCGACAATCTGAAAGTCAGTATTTCCCTCGATTCCGGATGCTTCCTGATGGTGTGGGGTAGCTTTTTGGACGTACCCCTGAAACTTTAAAGATTTTTCGCGTAGAAGTTACTTCTTGGCAGGACAGTCCTAGTCAGTACATAAATACACATTTACGTACATAAATGAACTTGTACAATGTTAATGCACTACTTGCGTTACTCCTGGAGCTTTCCGTACACTCCCGTTCCAACATCTCTTCCGCGTCTCCTATGCATTATTCAGGACACTTACATTATTTAGTGGAATACTCTCCGTTGTACGGAAAACTAGACGAGCAAGAAGAATTGATTCGCACGATGAAGATCAAAATCTTTCTCTGTTCATGGAGTTTAGAGATTACATATTGCACCTGCATTACGTGCACATGCATAATATTTACTTTCACAATTATTATCATTCGTCACTGATATCAAGTATTACCCTCAGTGTTCACCCTGGTAAACCATTTTTCAAAATATTTTTGGCGTTATAAAATTTTTTACAATATTCATAATCAAAAAATCTGAATAATGAATATGATTCGAAAGCATCAAAAGCACAATCGATGAAAAATTTTTATCATCATCGTTTGATGAAGCAATCCCCTCCCGATCAAAACTTCATTGTTTACAAATGATGATTGAAGAGGTATAACCCTTCCGAAATGACGTATGCCCCTTTCGCAGCAATCGTATAATCAAACAACAATTTCCCATACCAATTGTTCGAGCGTACACACCGCACGTATGATTTGATTCCATAACCGGAGTGAGATTAATAATTACTAGTCAATCCAGATGTTCTAATTTCTTGAAAATGCGGTGGATCCGTCAACGCCAACTGTCAAAGAGCTGTCATTGATGATTACCACGTGTTGAGGCTGTTTAAATGATCTTAACGTCAACTGTCATAATACCCTGAAAATGCTCTCCAAGTTTTTCTTTTTTTTTTTTGTTGGTAAACTCCTCTGTGCCGTGGGAATAGAGTGTACACTCCACGATTCATGCAAGTGTTTGCTTTCCATTGAGCATATGCTTCTGACTAATACATGTCGTTGGGGTCATGGTGCATGCGCTTTGTGTACAGTGGCAATATCATGGCTCGGTATTCGGTGAAGTTATATTAGTCTGATGTATTCTCCAGTGTTGAAGGAGTGGTTGACGTTGGAGACTGATGTTATAATGATCTTGAGGCTTTTCCGTTGGTTAAACCGAAGAAAGTCGTGGTGTAATCGAGATTTATCGGATTAATCTGAAGTCCCACTCACCGGATTTGTCGATTTGTAGATTTTTTTCTGGGATTAATCAGCTGGGGCTTGACAAATCACACCTATCGCTGATTTGTTCCCCGGGGAAAGACCGACATCAAAATTAGATCGAGTGGAATAATTGGTGAATGTTGTATCCTAGTCACACAATTCACCTCTGAACATTACAATGCACAATGGTGAATTGAGTTTGGCTCTTTACGTCAAAGCCAGTGATGTGGCTCTATCAATAATTGCGATCCACCGATGTATTCTCCTTCACGGATATTCGGACAAGCCTCTGTGTCTCGTAACGGTATTCGTCTTATTTCCTCTTCAGTCTCGAGATCGATTGATCCCTCTGTCTCTCGGCTCAGCAGCTCCATTCCTCTTCATCCAGGTCAAAGCTCACGATTTGACGGCGAATCAAAGGTTACGACGTGTATCGTTGTGCAACTTAAATATACACCATCAACTTTATCAATTACCCATTCAGCGGTACGTCACGTTAACTTTGAGATAACTCTCCAGCTATTTCAGGTTCAAGTCGTCTATTTCAACTATCAATTATCATTTTCAAACCCCTCAACTCCAGAATTCATCAAGTTTGATGGACTTGATCTGGGGGTAAGAAATAAAACTTTGTTATCAACTTTTTTTTATCGCGTTGGGATTTACAAGTCTCAAATATACGGAAAAAAAATCGATTTAAATTATTTTTATTTAAATTTTATTATAATTATTTTTAAATCGATTTCAATTTGAGAATGTGCAAGTGCTTGTAAAGCGTTTCAATGGAATTGTCTCCGAGGAAGTAGTGTGGGAGGTTAAAACGTACTCAGAGACATGGAAACTTTACTTTAGTACAAATCGATCCGCCTCTTAGGACCAGCCCTTATTCGCACACCGAAATGTACACCACTTGGGTGTTACAAGCTCAGTGAGAGCCGATGCCACGGTATATTCCACTCGATCTTGTCTGGGGGTGCCTTAGGAGCAACAACATACATTCTCCACTGGGAAATATCCGGGGTGTGACGACCACGTGTGTGTGAGTTTCCAGAGAATGGTGAAACCAGTCTGATTTGCAGGCTGTACTTTCCAAGTGCAGTCAAGTATCTCACCTATTTACTTACACACCCTAACGGCCATTTGCCACGATATAT